GTCCTCAGCCTTTCCACATGCATACACACGCAGGCACCCGCCCCACGTGTACACACACACACACACACACCCCAACCTGTGAGATGCCTGCCACCAAAATAACCTCATCCAAGGAAGCCCTCCATGCAGTGCACTCGAGAAGAGGCCAGCTATATAAAAAGAAGCAATGGGCACAGACGTCTGCAAATATTTGGGGGAGGAAATACATAAGTGTGGGCTGTATGACTCCAAAATAATGGCTCCTAATTGATGGTGGAGAGAGACAGGGCAGCACTAAAGTACTGGATGGTACCATATAATTTGGAAGAGGATGCTGGAAATTGAAGCTTTCAAATGTTTTCTGTTATTGAGGAGGAGGGTAAACACACTGGGCAAGCCCAGAGGCTGTTAGGTGCTGTGCTAACATCCTCACAGCAAGCCCTAAAAACTAGCCATGGGCTGCATGATGGCTCAGGCAGTAGAGGCACTTGCTGCCAAGCCGGACTGACTACCTGGTGTCAAACGTGGGGAACTGCAGTACAAAGAACCGATTGCGAACATTGTCCTCTGACTTCCACGCACCCACCAAGGCACACGTATGCTCACGCTTGAGCACACAACTAACAGAAGAGAAGAAATGTGAGGCTGGAGAGTAATTAAGTAAACTCTGAATGCACAGCTCAAAGGACCAAGCTCTTGTTTAAAGACAATTATTGGATTGAAGTTTTAAAATATCCAGAGTACAAAGACCTAGCTTTGGTGACACAAGCATCTAATCTTGGCGACTCAGGAGACTGAGGCAGGAGGATTGTGAGTTTGTGGTCAGCCTGGGCTACATGGTGAGCCCACTTATCTAAAATGAAATAGACCCAGTGAGTTCAGCAAGAATAGAAATGGTGTATTATGGCTAAATCATGCTCACTTAATACGTTAGTTGACTTAAAATCATAAAGTTAAAATAACATAATTTCAACAGACGGGAACTTGTTCAATGGAATCTTCTAGTTAGCCAGGTGTGGTGGTGCACACCTGTAATCCCAGCCGTTGGGAGGCTGAGGCGCGAGGATGGGCAGCGAGATGCCAGCATGGGCTATATAGTGAAAACTCGTCTCAAAAACTAGCAAGAAGGCTGGAGGAATGGCTCAGAGGTCAAGAGGGTCTGATGCTGCTAATGAAGAGGACGCAAGCCCTTTCCCCAGCAGCTCACGATGACCCCAGAAACTCACGATGACCCCAGCAGCTCATGACAACCCCAACAACTCACGACGACCCCAGCAGCTCACGACGACCCCAGCAGCTCACGACGACCCCAGCAGCTCACGACGACCCCAGCAGCTCACGACGACCCCAGCAGCTCACGACGACCCCAGCAGCTCACGACGACCCCAGCAGCTCACGACGACCCCAGCAGCTCACAACCGCCTCTAAGTCCAGTGTCAGGCTCTGGTTTCTGGCCTCTGTCTCTCTCTCTCTCTCTCTCTCTCTCTCTCTCTCTCTCTCTCTCTCTGAAAAATCCAGCAAGATGAAACAAAACAAAATTTTGACATTCATTCATTATAATAATGATTTACCCACTGAAAGGCATGTCCTTAACTCCATAAAAATGTGTATAAACAGGAGCGTGTAGATGTACACAACACCAAACACTCTGGCACAATATTGGAAGTGTTAATTTAGGAGAAGCAGCAGATTGATTAAATTAGGAAATTCTTTTCAACCCTGTGGTTTGGCCCTGCTTAGCATAGTAATGCAGGAAAAATAAATCAATGGCCTCAAGTTCTCATCAATGCTATTAGCAGATGCTATGACTATGTAAACAGAAAATGCAAAAGAATCAAACTATGTAAACAGAAAATGCAAAAGAATCAAACTATAAATCATTAGAAGAGTCTAGTAAGTTTTTTAATACAAAAAACACAAAAGCAATTTCATTCTTAAAGGTTTATTTAGATTATTTTTAAGTATTTGTGTGTGTATCTGACTGTGCTTATGCACGCAAATGCAGGTGCCCTTGGAAGCCAGAAGAGGGCACCAGATCCCCTAGAGCTGGAGTTAGAGGTGTTTGTGAACCTCTGGTGTGGGAGTTGGGAATCAAATTCAGATCCTCTGCAGGGTGGCAAATGTTCTTAACTGCTGCACCATCTCCAGCCTCCAATTTCATTTTTTCTACACCATCAGCAGTTAGAAACTGTAATTTAACAGTATGTGTCAGGTACTACGATTTCTGGAGATGGATGGCATCAGCTGAACCACAATGGATACAACTTACTGCTGTGGCACTGTGTGCTTGAAAGTGGTCCAGATGGTAAATTTATATTAACTGTGTTTTACTGCAATGAAAAAATGAAACTCAGAGGTAGTAAATCTTTAAACGAACACAAAGAAATGTTTAGCATGGAACTTAGGGCAGAGCCAGATCTGGCGGCATGAGTACTTGTATTCTTAGTGTTCTGTAGGCTGAGACAGGAGGCTCGCTGTGACTTTGAGGCCAGCGTGAATGACAGTGAGATTAGACCAACCAGGGATACATAATGACAGGACATACTCAGTGGTGCTGTTTTTGCTGGACTCGGAGTGGTGAATGCATCATGGGTGAGGACAGCACTGTGGGCAGGGATGTCATCATTCTTTAGCAGATGTGCTATAGACACCCTTTCCACCACCAGTGCAATCAGTTTTAAACATTGAAAGGCTGTAAACATGTATGCAGGAGCAGCCCCGTGGCTTTCAGGATAAAAATTGAAAGTGAAGGAATTAGAGTCCGTGCTGTGACTGGATCCAGAGACCGGGGGAGGGACCAACCTGGATTTGAGCAGTCAGTGCCAGCAGTCATGGGGTGTACCCGTAACCCAGGTTTTTTTTATCTGGATTGTCTCTTGCTCCTTCCAAACATGGCAGAGATGACGTTATTCTAGAAGGTTCCTTGGCAGAGTAGGAGGACCCGTGTCATTCTCTGTGTGGCTGTGGAGGGATTGGGGGACACTGAATCCTTTCTTTCAGAGCAGTGGTCTGAAGATGGCTGATTCCATGGCTAGGAGAAACTCAAGCCCTTCTCTTGCAACTAGGTCAGTTCCCGCAGCAGTCAGTGAGCTCTTGGGCCTGGGTGAGTTACCTCGAGAGGAGGTTGTTAAATGTGAGGATGGCCTTAGTGTCTTGTGTGTATGTGTAGGTATTGGGGTGCATGCAAGTGTGGGTAACCGTGTATATACATGCAGATCCCAGAGTGCATGCATAGGGACCCCAGACCAGGGAGCTATGCGTCCTCCTCCATTTTTTCTCCACCGTATTTCCTTCAGATAGGGTCTCTCAGTGAACTGGAAGCTTAAGGGTCTTTGGCTAGATTGACTGGCCAGGGAGTATTGGGGATCTGCCTGTCTTTGCTGGGGCTCCTGGCATGCACAGCCAGGGCCAGGTTTTATGTGAGTGCTGGGAAATCAGACTCAAGTCCTCATGAGCAAGAACAAGTCCTCTAACCATTAAGCAATCTCCCTAGCCTCATGTCTCACTTCCTCTAACGTCCGATGCCCTTCCCATGTCTACCGGGTGACATGGCAGTACAGCACCCTCTCTCAATGTGACTGCCTGCTCCCAAACTGCCCAACCTTAAGAACACTGAGCATCCGAGAAACAAGCCTTGGGAATTCTGGTACAGTCATAGAAAAATGGAGAAGACAGCAGGGATTTAGAGGCAGCATTCATCCTCATGTGGCTCCAACTTCAGAAGTGGGGAAGAGGCATTCTGTGTGTTGCTGGGATGTGGGGTGGGCGTGCCCTCAAGGAGAGCTCTCTTGCCCCTGCATAAGTCCCCAGCTCTCTGCAGGACCTGGGTGGCCCCAGGCAGCACTGCCCACCTGGTTAAAACTTGGGAGCTAGCTCAAGGCTTGAGTTGGGGCAGGAGGCAGTGGCTATGGGAATCGGGTGTGCTTGGGGCGGGACTATGGAGGAGGGGCATGGAGGTAGCAATGACTGTAAATTTGATGGAGGACAGTGACTGTTCCCTTCCATGCTGGAGACTGGAGAGGCTTGAGGGCTTGTGAATTCCTGGCTGCTGACCACTGTGGTTCTTGGCTGTGATTGTGAGGACTCTGGCTGGGCTTGCAAACTTCTCGGCCTGTGGTAATCAGGTGCCCCCAGTGGCAGATGGGTGACATTGCACTCTGTACCGCGGGTCATGGATGTCTCCTTAAAGCAGATTTTCTCATGCAGAAACTTGCCTCGGCACCTTTTTTTCCCTTTCTCTAGGTGGACTGCTCTGACCAGTTTTCTTCCCTTTTCTATTGCTGGAGTAGAGGCATACTTCCTTCCACTGTAGCCTCAAACTGGCCAGCAGCTGGCAACGGCCCAGGGGCTGGGGGCCCACCACTAGGCATGGTAAGGTGCATGTCTAGGCCCAAAGAGTAACTAGATATGCTTCAGCTGGTCTTCATCACCCCACAAGGTGGGCTGGGGGGAACCGCAGGCTTGTAAGGTGTGACTAGGATCGGGGTGGGGGACCCAGAAGTTGAGTATGATGCCAGGTTTCAGTGTTCAGATGTGGTAGACAGTGATAACACTCGCTGAGGGGGTTTGGAGGGAGAGGTGTGTTTGGTGATGGTTTCTATTGCTGTGACAAAACACCAAAAAGCAAGATGGAGAGGAAAGGGCTATTTGGCTTACACTCCCATATCATAGTTCAGATTGGAGGAGGTGGGGACAGGAACTCAGGCAGGGCAGGAACCTAGTGGCAGGAGCTGATGCAGAGGCCATGGAGGGGTGCTGCTCACTGACTTGTTTCTGTTGGCTTGCTCAGCCTGCTTTCTTATAGAACCCAGGACCAGCAGCCCAGGCATGGCCCCACCCACCATGGGCTGGGCCCTCCCCTATTGATCACTAAGTGAGAAAATGCCTTACAGCTGGATCTCATGGGGCGTTTCCTCAGCGGAGACTCCTTCCTCTCTGATGACTCTAGCTTGTGTCGAGTTGACATAAAAACAGCCAGTATAACCGACCCCTTGTCAACTTGACACACAAACACGTCACTATTAAGCCACATCACTTCCTTTCTTATTCATCCCCCAAGATCTTAAATCACTTTAAAAGTGCCACAATCTTTACAAAGTCAACACATTAAAATTTAAGACCCTTTTAAATAACAGTCCCGTTAAAAATCCAAAGTCTTTAAAAATTCGAGTCTCTCAACTGTGGACTTCAGTAAAACATCTTCTTACTTCAAGAGGGAAGACTCAGGGCACAGTCACTGTCAAATCAAAGAAAAACAGAATTATAACATCCATTATCTGGGATCCACTCTCAATCCTCTGGCCTCCTCCAAGGGCCTGGTCACTTCTCTGCCCTCTGCAGCACACACAGCTCACCTTCTAGGCTCCAGCTGGCTCCACCCCACTGCTGCTGCTGTCCTTGGCCTCATCCCATGGTCCTGGAATCTCTAAAATGTTGGTGTCTTCTCCTGCAACCAGACTTTCACCAGTAGCCTCTCATAGGCTCTCCTCATGGCGCCAAGTCTCAATTTCTCTGCATGGTCCCTTCAGGCCTGGGCCTTCAACTGCCACCGAGACCACACCTTCACCAATGGCCTCTCACAGTGCCCAGCCTCAGCTGCTCTCCAGGACCCCTTCATGCCCTCAAAACCAGAACCACCTGGGTGACTCTTGCACATCACCAAGACCAGCTTCCAGCCTGAGGAGCAACCTTGGCTGCCTCTGGAACACAGCTTCTCTGTGCTGTCAGGAAACACCTTCCAGAAGATTTCACCTCAGTGATGCTGGTCTCTTCTTAATCACTGCTGATTTCTTAGCTCCAGCCGGCCAGCATCAATGGTTCCATAAACATGAAGGTTTCACTTGAGTAGTTCTGGTACCTTGTTAATCACAGCTGATTCTTCAGCCCCAGCTGACCAGAACTCAGGATCTGACATCAAAATAACAAGTGGCCCTGATAGAGTCTTTAATCTTCCCTCCAAAATTCACAAGTCAGGCCTCCATCTTCTGCACTGCTCTCAGCATCCTTATCTTCCAAGCTCCTACAGAGCAGCCCACTGAGCTCTCAATATCACTGGCTTTTCTAGGTCAAAGTTCCAAAGTCCCTCCACAATCCTCCTAAAAACATGATGAGGTCTGTCACAGCAATACCCACTACACTGGTACCAATTTCTGTCTTAGTTGGGGTTTCTATTGTGACCACAGCAACTCTTTATCTATTTATTTTATTTTCGAGACAGGGTTTCTCTGGCTTTGGAGGCTGTCCTGGAACTAGCTCTTGCAGACCAGGCTTGTCTCAAACTCACAGAGATCTGCCTGCCTCTGCCTCCCGGGTGCTGGGATTAAAGGCGTGTGCCACCACCGCCCGGCCACAGCAACTCTTATAAAGGAAAATATTTAACTGAGGTGGCAGCTTACAGTTTCAGAGGTTCAATCCATTATCATCATGGCAGGGAGCGTGGTAGCATGCAGGCAGGTATGGTACAGGAGAAGGAGCTGCTATGTGTTGATATGCAGGCAAAGGAAGTAGACTTTCTCACTGGGCACAGCTTGAGCACATGAGACCTCAGAGCCCACCTCCACAGTGACACACTTCCTCCAGCAAGACCACACCTACTCCAGTGAGGTCACACCTCCTGATAGTGCCACTCCCACTGAGATTATGGGGCCAACTACATTCAAACTACCACAGATGAGCAAGGATTTGGCGGTGGAGGGCATATTAGTCAGGGCTCTCTGAGGGAAAAGGACCACTAGAATGATGGATATTAAACAGGGGATTCGTTAGACTGACTTAGACAAGGCAGATGGGTGGTCAGCGATGGCTGCCTGCACAGTGAAGAGGCAGAGAAGCAGGTGGCTGCTCAGCCCATGAATACGGAAGCCTCAGCAGTTCCAATCTGGCCCTGGAGGATCTATAGAGGCCTTCAGTCTGTGTGGTGGCGGCGGTGGCGGCAGTGGCAGTAGTAAGAGGCTAAGACAGGGGAGGCAGATCTTTCCACGTGGGCCGCTGGCTTCAAGGTGTCACCCACTCTGGGAGATGGTCTTCTCCCTACAGCTAACCCTTCCTGGAAACATCCCAGATTCATGCACTGGTGTGACTCCTGGCCATTTCAGATTCTATCTAGCTGACAATCAAGATTAATTATCACAGATGGACTGAGATGTCCCTGGCCGGGCAATGTTGGTTCAGAATTCAGCCAGCAGTCCAGATTCTTTTTTTTCCCCCCTGGTTTTGGTTTTTCGAGACAGGGTTTCTCTGAGTAGCCCTGGTTGTCCTGGAACTTGCTCTGTAGATTAGGATGGCCTTAAACTCAGAGAGATCCGCCTGCTTCTGCCTCCTGAGTGCTGGGAACTCTTTAGAAGATGAAGAGAAGGATTATTTCTCCTGCACGAACCAGGGACAGTTCATCTCAGCCCTTAGATCTTTCCCTCTGCCACCAGTAGAGGAAGAGGTCCAAGGGTTCATTTCGTGGGCCTCCCTGACACTGGCCTTGTAGGCTGGCCATCCAGAGCCTGGGCTGCTGTAGGGGGCACATGTATCCCAGGTCTGCTGGACTGGCCCACTGCATCCAAGCGGAGAACCCCTGCTCATGGTTGCTCTGATAGCTGGGTCACCTTGGGGTGACCTGAGACCAAGGATTCCTCTGGCCTCTGGTGTCTTCCTGTCCTGTGACCCTAGAAGGCTGTGTTTATTCAATTGCCTGGGGTTGGCTCTGGGTTAGGAGTGGGGAACTTCTTGGGTGTCACTCCACTGGAGTGCAGGGGGGGACTGTGTGTGATGTACGTGCCCGTGCGGGGCCTAGGGCAGATTTTCACACACACACACACACACACACACACACACACACACACACACACACACCATTACTATCCCTTCTGGTCACACCTAAAGGAAGAAAGAAGTGTGCGGTCACGGTGCCCGATGCTGAGGCTGGCTTCGTGGGATGCCTTCTTGGACTCCAGACTCTTCTTGAGGGCAGCTAGGCAGGCTGAGGCCAGGCATTCCAGGGCTGACTCCACCCCTGATAGCTCCTACAGTCTTTGACCAGAGAGGCGGGCATGCTCAAGGCCATAGATCCTACTTCTGAGTTGGCCAAGGCCAGAGGAAAAGAGGGAGGAGAGGCAGCCAACTAAGGAACAATTCTGAAAAACCTTGCGTTGGCTGAACAGACTCAAGATTGTCAGTTTTCAATACCCCACTCGAAGTGACAGATGCATTTTACAAGGAGACCAAGGCCCAGAGGTAGGTGGGGACTAGTCCTTGTCACGTATCAAGACAGACACAGAGCTAAAGACAGAACCTGGCCTCGGCTGGCCCTTCAAACCACCCCGCCCTTCTTAGGTGTTTGCACCAAGGCGGCCTATCCTGTCTCTGCCTCCATGTCTGCTGTGGGATTTCCCATTCCAAGCTGCAGCGACTACAAGCTGCGGATGGATGGCATGCTACTGCCCTCGTGTGGCCAAAGTGAGGAAGGGCCAGCTAAGGTGTGGTTAAGAAAAGCAGTAATTATTCAGCAGGCCAGGCTGCTGTAACCCCCCAGCCCCCATGAGCCAAATTGACCTTGTGTTGCAGGGCAGGGTTTGAATCCCACAATGCCCTAGTGATGTGTGACACTGAGAGGAGTGTCATTCCTTCTCTGAGCCTCAGTTTCTCCAATCAAAAGCCGGCTTTCTGTGGGGCTGCAGGAGTGCTGTGTTCGTGCAAAGCGTGATAGCGTTGACGTGTCTGGTCTTCATCCTACACTGGGGAGGCTGGCCCAGGCTGGCCTGCACCGTATCCTCCATCGGAGCCGACTGGCTGCTAACCGTGTCCTCGGTGCTCTCCCTCTGCTGTGCCTGCTCATCTGAACCTGACACCAGTCAGCAGGCAGGCGCCTGTGACCTGCTCGTGACAAACGAGTTGGGGATGAGTTGAGGGTCCCGATCCTGGGCACTCGGCTGTGACAGCAGCTCAGGGACTGGGTCTGGGACCTGCCTGGTTTCCCACCATGCGTTTAGGGGATGCATGGCTTGTCACAAGGGCCTTCAGACTCCAGTTCAAGGAGAGCAGGGCGACGCTCGGGAACTAATGTTGGGGTCACGGTGTCCAGTAGGTGGTCTGCTGCAGCTGTCCCAGGGGAACAGGCCCCGCTGCCTGTTTCCTCTCCACTCAGCAAGCAGTCGGAGGGACCTGTCTGCCCCCACAGCCAGCAGACAAAGGTGGGTCATCCTGGGACCACTGAGGGCGCCCGGGACCACTGGGGTGTGTGTCCAACCGGTGAAGGGAGGTGGGTGGGAAGGGTTAATCGACACCTCAACACTGTGCGTGGTGACCTTTCACTCTGCAGGAGGGGAAACTGAGGCTCGTGGGAGAAGGCTCTTCCTAGGTGTCCCAGGACTCTCGTGTTTTCACTACAGGGCCCCTCCCTCATGACGTCTCTGGGTTTGTCTGATGAAAAGGGACGTGGACTGTGGTCCCAGGGGGAAGAGTTTGGAGTAGTATTCTTCTCAATGTCCCCAGTGCATCTCTTGGAGGAGCTCGGTTCAACCCTGGCATTGGCTATGACTGGCTGAAACCGTCTTTCAGAGAAGCAGTTGTTCCCTGGGGCCTTGTTATTTATTTATTTAAAAATAAAACGATGTGTTATTATTGCGGAGGTGGCGGCAGCACAGGGTGGTGTGGTGTGTGTGGTGTGTGGTGTGGTGTGGTGTGGTGTGTGGTGTGTGTGTGTGTGTGTGGTGTGGTGTGCGTGTGGTGTGTGGTGTGTGGTGTGGTGTGTGGTGTGTGGTGTGGTGTGGTGTGTGGTGTGGTGTGGTGTGTGTGTGATGTGTGTGTGTGGTGTGGTGTGGTGTGTGTGTGGTGTGTGGTGTGTGGTGTGGTGTGTGTGTGGTGTGTGGTGTGTGTGGTGTGGGGTATGTGGTGTGGTGTGTGTGGTGTGTGGTGTGGTGTGGTGTGTGGTATGTGGTGTGTGTGTGGTGTGGTGTGGTGTGTGTGTGGTGGTGTGATGTGTGTGTGGTGTGGTGTGTGGTGTGGTCTGGTGGTGTGTGGTGATGGCGGTGTGTGGTGTGTGGTGTGTGTGGTGTGTGGTGTGGTGTGGTGTGTGTGTGGTGGTGTGGTGTGTGGTGTGTGTGTGGTGTGTGGTGTGTGTGTGTGGTGTGTGGTGTGTGTGGTGTGTGGTGTGGTGTGGTGTGTGGTGTGTGGTGTGTGTGTGGTGTGGTGTGGTGTGTGTGTGGTGGTGTGGTGTGTGATGTGTGTGTGGTGTGTGGTATGTGGTGTGGTATGTGGTGTGGTCTGGTGGTGTGTGGTGTGGTGGTGTGGTGTGTGGTGTGGTAATGGTGGTGTGTGGTGTGGTGTGTGTGTGGTGGTGTGGTGTGTGGTGTGTGTGGGGTATGTGGTGTGGTGTGTGTGGTGTGTGGTGTGGTGTGGTGTGTGGTATGTGGTGTGTGTGTGGTGTGGTGTGGTGTGTGTGTGGTGGTGTGGTGTGTGGTGTGTGTGTGGTGTGTGGTGTGTGGTGATGGCGGTGTGTGGTGTGGTGGTGTGGTGTGTGGTGTGTGGTGATGGCGGTGTGTGGTGTGGTGGTGTGGTGTGTGGTGTGGTAATGGTGGTGTGTGGTGTGTGTGTGGTCTGGTGGTGGTGCTAACCCTGGTTAGTGAGGACACTCTCCCAGCCTCCGGGGGTCTGGTGGTCTTGAGTCCCTGTTTGAGCCCCACCTTGTCCTGCTGTGTGACAGTAGCAGTCAACCCTACTTGCAGGACAGGTGGAGCGTCAAGCAGTGCTGCCCCCTCCTCAGTAAGCATGGCTATGCTGTCATTCAATGTTGTCTTGTGCAAAGCCTTGCGAGTCTCAGCCTCCGGTCTTCAGTGTCTGCAGGGCTGTGGCTGGCTGCTTGGCCTCTGCGTCCCTGGTCTCTACCTAGCTCACGGCAGGTTGGCCTCTCCTGCTCCACTGTGGGGAGTAAGTGAGTAATAGAGCAGAAACACCCAGAACCTGGGGACACCTGAAGCAGCTGTTGGGAGAAACTCGCGGGGAGGTTGGCGCTGTGTCACCCGAGGGGGCTCAGGACGCAACTCCAGAGGGTAGGGACCAGGTGAGAAGGCACCAGAATGCAATTCTCACCTCTGCCAGAAGGTGGTGCCAGTTCTCTCATGCTGCTTGCGTAGCAGCCGTCAGGGGCATCCCAATCCAGGATGGGCTCTCGAGGGTGAGGCCTGCTCTTTGCTCTTCTGGGGAAGCATTCAAGGAC